TTAGAATCGAAAGAAATTAGTTGAGGGAGTTAACATTCGAGTCAATCAATTTTTTTTGATCCCACTCCATGTTTAATTATTTTCACTCTTTGCTCCAGGCTAACCAGTTCAGATCCCACTGCTCATTCGATTCTTTCCGCTGTTTGTTCCATGCTCACAAATTTCTCTTGATTCACCCCTCATTCCAAATCTTTTTCATCTAAGTAATTGTTGGTGAGCAGTGATGCATAAAACAGAGCTAATTCACTTCAGTGACTAAACTGATCTGATTCAATCCCATAGAAGAGCAGTTTTGCCAATCGTTACTGGTAGCCCTTGTGCCTTGGTGAATAGTGATCAACTTGAAAAAAGGCTCAGGTATATTTATGTACATTAGTCATGTTGGTGAGAAAGAGCATCATCTGTTTCTCTCTGTCAGAAATGCTACTGTCTTTAGCTATATAAAGTGGTAAACATTATATGAATAACTGGAGCTGCCCTTGTAGTGTTTTGCTCCCTCCCTCGCAGCTAATTGTGTAATGTCAGTAAGAAGAATATTAATAAAAGCTAATAAATAATACAAAGTGCAAAAATTGTATTATAAAAATCTGAATACAGTACAAAGTCTGAAATCTGGATGTTCAGAATTATTTAATATCTCACCATCAGACCAGTAGGTTTTTTTTTTCCCCTTTTTGAAAAAAATTTTCTGTAGCAAAATCTAGGAATGGAGAATAGTAGTTTCCATAAGAGATAATGTAATAGATAGAAGATAGTAGATAGAAGAACATTGACACAGATCTTAATGAATTATTAGTTAGAAAATTATTTTATACTTGACGCTTGGCAGCATATGAAATTGGTTATTTTATCAGATGATGCAAAATCTATCCTCATTATATAGGCACTTGTGCAGCTTATTATTACTTCAGTTAACCCTTTGACGCACACAATATTATTTTTATAATTTTTAAAACTAAAAGCTCTAGAAATTGAATATTATGATCCTAGAGACAAATAATATATGAATTAAAAAAAATCTACTCTTGCCCATTGTTCTGTGGGTGACAGTCGCACTGTGAAACCACCGCGCATCTAGGACTTTGAAATTTACTGAGGTAGTAGGAAAAAAAACTTACCTTTCTCCATGCGCGTTTCCAATAAATGGCGAAATTTATGAATTTTAAAAAAATGTATGGAAGAATTGCATTATATATAATTTTTTGCATTATTTTACAAATTAAATAGTCAGAAAAAATTAAAAAATAAATATTTATGTAATTTTCCTACAGCAGTGAAAATATAAGTACCTACATAATAAGGACAATTGGCTAAATGGATGAAATGGATCTAAATTTAACTAGTATATGTCCTGCGTTATTTAGTTTCTTTTGATCTGGCACATGAAATTTGTGGTTTTTTATGTTAATTAAGGGAAACTCGTTTTTTTTTTTTTTTTTTTTCTTTGGTACGGATTGTTTGTTTCCCAATCATTCCTAATTTTGTCGTATTTCGTCCCAAAATATTCAGAAAATATTTTTAATCTAAATAAAACTTTATGCAATTTTTATTTTTAATTATAGCAAAGTATATTTACATTAAATTTAAACCACAGGAAATAATTTATAAAATCACAATACTAGCTTGAGGAGCAAGTGTGTTGAGATCAGAGAAAAATCTCTGGAAAAGAAAGATTTTTTTACTGCGCGGGTGCATGCATTGTTTAGTAATAAAACAATTCTGTGGTTTCAAAACCCCTTATCTATATCCGGATAAAAATAAACATTCCTATTTGAGAAGCAAGCAAATGCCATTGTGAAGAGCAGTGGTTTCAAGGCACGACCACCGAGCCTCTAGAGCATTGTTCTCACAATGCTCTAGTGGCACAGTGGTCATGCCCCTGAAACCACAAAGCAAATGCCATACATATAGAAGGTTTTATATATATATACAGTTTAATTATTGCTATTGTTTATTGTTTTATGATAGAAATCATGAGTTGCAATAAATAACTTTTGAAATTTAAAGATGTTTATATTAATAAAAGGAAGTTATTTTGTCTCATTGAAAACGAATTTTAAAAGACATCCGATTTGAAGTACTAAGACCTAAAACATGTATGAATCATTTTGTGTTATTTAGAGGTAAAAGATCAGTAATCAATTGATTTTCACTGAAAAATTTCGGAAAGAAAAAGTGAAAAAAATTTGAAAATTGATGGTTTCAAGGCACGACCACTGCGCGTCAAAGGGTTAAAGTTACATCTCCATTTTATTCTTTCCCTAAAATTGTACATCCTTCATATTCAACCAGTGGTTTACAATGCTCTGCATGTGCTGAAATGCAGATATTACATAACCCTTTTAAAACCTGTTATAAATGTTTTGAAAAGTGGCAAGACCATTAAAAGTTTTTTAAATATTTTAACATAAAAACTTCTGTGTAGAGCACTGAAAGATCATGAAAGAGCATGTCTGCAGATGTTTTTAAAAAGGCTTGCTATAATTTATAGCTAACTCTTATATATCATAGTAACGATGACGATAGCTGCAAGATTTTCTAAAAGCAAATCAAAAAAATTTCAGAATCAGAACACAAAATTTTCCAGTTAATGGAATTCGGGAAGAAATATGTAAGAGTAATAATAAATGAAATTGATAAAACAGTTTTCCTTTGCAATAACAGAACACAATTATCGATCAATTAATGGATGGTGAAATTTATAGTATGGTTTTAATTCCAGAAAATATAGCTAGTGAAAGAAATGGCAGGCTGTTGAGGAGGGGGGGGGGAAATTGATTCACAACTTATTGGGAATTTTTGACATGGCAATAGAAAGGTAGAAATTTGTAACTGAACAAGAAATTATAGCTATCTGATATAAAGTATTGGGGGGGGATTCAACAAAGTACATTGAAATTAAGGTTTTTATTAAACCTTAATTAAACAAATAAGTATTAATTAAACAATAAATATTGAGCATTTTTTATTAAAAAAATAAGTATTGAGCATTTTTCAAAATTTTGATTCCCATAGTCATATCATGCTTCATTATTTTATAAACAACTATTTAACTATTTCATATTTTTAATTTTGTAATTTCTACATGTCATCTCACTAGATTTAAACACATCTAAAATCCAGAAATTTCCAAAATCTGATCACCATAGTTCCAATGATTAAGGATCTCTAATTTTGTTCTGTAATGCCATATACTCGTAAATCTTCCTGTTAGTCTGTTTTTACTCATAAGCAGGCAACATTTGGTTTTTGTTAACTGACTGATTTACTCACTCTTAAGCATGATTCAGATGTTATGCTGCTAAAGTATATGCAATTGTGTGCTGCTTAGGAGTTCACTTACTTTTTTTTTTTTTTTTCCATGAATTTGCTGAGATTGCTGAACATTTCCCCCACAAAAATTAAGCTTAAATATTTGCTTTCAAATCAAGAATTATACAAATTTTAATAAAAATTTAAAAAAACTATTATTTTGGATTTGTTTTTTGGGGCAAGGAGAGAGGACAAAGCACACATTAAAGAGTTAAGTGATACAAGCTTTATATCTGTGCATAAACTGTGCTTCTCACCAAAATCATAGATTTGTATGCCATCAATGTTTTATAATCATATGTGTGTTTTCAGTGGCACATTTTAGTTGCAGTGGATTTCTTTGGATAATTTTAATAGAGTTTATTCAAACAGCTTGGAACTTCTAGTCTTTATATGAATTCTTAGACAGCAGCTTGTTTTTATTTGCAAATTTCAAAACTGAAATGTGAGAAGTTAATGAGCAATTTAATGACAATATTCTTTATAAGTTCCACTGCTCTGAAAATGATGAAAATCATTATACAGGTACATATTTAAAGACTGGACTGTCTGGAAAAATCTTCTTATGGAGTGCCACATCCTTGACTTTTTGGTACTTTCCGATTATCCACATTCCCTTTCCCCTTCTAAAAAGCTGCTTTGTCAAGCTAAGATACAAAAAACAACAGCCATTTTCAAAAATGGTGACCTACAAAGAATTTCAGAAAACGGCAATCGATTAACAAAATTAGAAACTTAAGAAACATCCATAATAGCATTTGAATTATTATGCGTTATATAAAATATAAACTTATATGTTTTAAACCAGGATTTTATTTTTCTGGAAAGTTAATGAATTGATTAAGGACAGTGTACACTGTATAGTCTTCCTTTTTTTTTTTTTTTTTTTTTTTTTTTTTGAGAAACCAGAAAAGGAGGAGAACCTTAAGAATTCTTAAAAATTTTCCTTGGCTTCTAATTTTATAAAACTACATTTTAACAAATCCATAACATTTTATATTCTTTAGATACTATGGGAGGATTTGAATCCTTGGTGCTAGTGCCCTGACTGGCTTTGTGTAAATCAGGTACTACTGACAGAACTCCTGTAAGGTGTAAGGCTCACTTTATTTTGGTGGCCAAACTTATGAGGTTGATATGCTGATCAGAAACTATATTTGTGATTTCTGAACTTTCTTGATTTGTCTTTTTATATATGCGACTCCTTCATTTTGAGTATGATTATTTATTAAATTTTTGTAAGTTAAGGCAGGATTTTATCAACTTAGACATATGAATGGCTGTTTGTTACATCAGAAGAATATTTTTGTCAGTTTTAATTGAATAGTATTCTAAGTGGGAAATAATGTTCATTGCTTTCTGTTCAAAAATAACGTACTTATTGTTTTAATTATACATATTATGTGCTTTCATTTGAAGCATATTTTATACTTAAGCACCTGTATGTTGGGTAAGCATAAGTGATTAATTGTCAAAATGTTTTTTAAATACCCTGTCGTGCCACATTTACATAGTTAAATTATTTCAGTTGTACTTGCTTTTAAATTGCTTCTTTTATATTAAAAATAAATATTCTGTTTTTCAGTCATAACATATTTATAAGGCATAATTTAGGTTTTGTCTGTATTTTAAAGGATATTTTTTATATGTTAATGTAATAAATATTTCTTTCTTTTTCTTTTTAACAGAGCATGCAAAATGAAATAAATCGTAGATTTGATATTGTAAAAACTATTTGTTATCAACCAACTTTATTAAAAAAGTCAGATGAAATTTACTTCCAAGACGAGCATTCCTGTCATAGTAAGTATTCCACGCTTGAGTTTTAAATATCAAAATCATTATTATAGTGATATATTTGATGTAATATACGATTTTGCTATATCACATGTCTTTCTGAGATTTAAAATTTTGAAAGTAATGATAAAAACTTCCTCCAAAGTTAACATACTACAATCCAAATCTTAAACTCTGCTGACAGCCACAACCATTTGACTGCAAATCCACACAAGAACTATCAGAAATGCCCTTCTTCGTCCGAGTTCTCATAGCAGCTTGCATTTTGGACTCTGTTTTAAAAGTCCCACAGAAATTCCAAAAATACGCTTCAATCGTCATAAACACACCAGTGAACAAAAGACTTGTTAACAACTCCAACATTGTACCTTTTACTTTCCACACAATCTAAAAATACGCGAATAAATTTACTTTCCACACAATCTAAAATACGCGACTGAAATCTTGCCATCACATCTATCATTGCAATGTAGGCCATTTCAAAACACGCACGACATGAACCAATGAGCAATTAAACAACTCCAGGAAAAGATTTTTCAACATCAACAGGGTTGCCATACAACATGCAATCACGCCAAAAACCAGCGCAGAACACATATTACCGCATGTAGTAATATGTGTTCTGCGCTGGTTTTAGGGCGCATATAAGAGTAGATCCCATAACTTTTTTTTTGTATTTCTAAGTGATTTATGAAATTATAAAAAGCTTAGAATATATTTTAAGATAAATCATTTTGTAAAGTATTTGATTTCTGCATTACGTTTTTAAAAATTCAAAATCAGCATTCTTCTCTAGTATCATTTTGTAATTAATTCAATCAATGTACAGTAGCTATAGCATATTGAACTTTAAATGTTTATAACAAACACAAATACCAGGGTTCGTAGCGGTCCTTACAAGTGCTTATAAGTCCTTATATTTGAAAATAAAATATAAAGGCCCTTATAGGTGCTTACTTTTTCTTTAAAGCCCTTATTTATTTATTTATTTTATTTTATTTATTTATTTTTTTTTGTTTGTTTTTAGTGTTTATTTTTTGCTTTCAGTGCTTTTTTTTAATCCCCCCCCCCTTTTTTTTTTTTTTTTTTTTTTAATGAATGCGCATTTTTTTTCCCGTACTAAAGCCGAAACTAACTAAACAACTTTTGTTTCTTAAATGCAACGTCAGATGGTGAATCATGCTCCCGGAAATTGCTTTTCCCCCTTTCTTTTCATAGCTGTAACCTATGGTGCACGCAAGAGTACAGACAGGTGCACGTCGTTCTAGGTCAAAAGAATTGCGAAAATGGTAGAATATTCCGGTACATTCGGTATTCTTTTCCTCCCCCACGCCAAATACTCACACCCGTTTGAATTTCTATAAAATTTTTAATAATTACATTCTTGTTCCGCGTGGTCAGTTCATTTTCGTGTTTATTTTGATCGTTATGCTTATATTATGAGCATATGCATGAATATTTATAATAATATAGTTGCAGTAACTGGCTGAATATAGATATTCCAACTTCCAAAAATTGGGTCTGTTTTTACACAGATTAGCTTTCTGGGGAAGAATATTCGGAATGGCTTAAATAAAAAGGAAGTAATCGACTAGTAAAAAAAAAAAAAAATTCCAATACATTTTACAGTACGGAGGTTTGGAGGTTCTCCCCTTTCTCCGCAAAATCTCTATTATTGAAGCACCGGACTTATTTTTTGTCACTGTCCAATCTGGATTGAATAGGACTAAAAGTTCTTGCGGTCTACCCAACCCAAGCAAAGATTGATTCTATTCCGGAAATTTAACCCAGTCTGTTGAAAATTAGAATCAGAAACATCCCAGATTAGTAAGTCTCTTTCTTTTCCTTTATTTAGTTCTTTATTCTCCGAATACCGGCAGCTGTTGATTCTGATTGCGTAATATCACATGTGAAGAATACAATTGCGCAATATGCGGCACGTATTGCGCAATAACGTTTGCGGTATTTTGCAGAGATAATTAATTTTGATGTTCAGTCTGAGATTTGTTTATGAACACTTAACAGAGTTTTACTGTGCTTTCTAAGCAGAATGTATCTCAGTTCCGTTGGTCTATTTTTATATGATGCACAAATCGAAATGTCAGAATCATTTATTTAGCCGAGATTGCCGAGTAATCGGGTTAGTTAAGTTTATACTGTTAAAGGAAACTGCATGAAGCAATTTCCCATCTTCTGATTTCAGAAATGTGCTTCTTTGTTACTTAAATTACTTTGCTTGAAATATATGTAAAGGAAAAACTGTTGTGCAATGAAAATTTAGAAAATGTTCAGAATTTTGGTTTAAGTTAAATTATTTAAATATAATATGAGTAAAAAAATACATTGTATTTATTATTAGGTGCCAAAAGAATACAATTAATATGGCTTATTATTATTAATTTTTCTATATTTGAACTGAAATTTCATCTTTAAATCTTGTAATATAGTTTAGTTTTGCATAGTTTTTTTCTCTCATTGTAAACTATAATTCTGTAAATGAACTGTCATTTAAAATTAAAAAAAAAAAAAAAAAGTTAATTGTTTTCCATGGTTGAGGTAATGCTCATTTTCTTAATAAATATTGCATTGCTCATATTTTAAATTACAAGTCTAATTTTTCTTTTAAGGTTATGCAGTTGTGTATAATGTAATTAGACAGGTGCTTATTTTTTCCTTAAAATGTTCTTGAAAAGTGCTTATAGGTGCTTATTTTTTTAACTAAAATGTGTCTATGAACCCTGAATACAGAGAAAAATTGTTTTCAAGAGTTAATGTGCATAATTGAACAAAAAAAAAGCAATACTATGTATATCAATACATAAGCTAAAAATTTTAAGCTGATAGAGTTTAAAGATCAGCTTATATATTAATTCAAAATGATTTGCAGATAATTTTATCTCAGAAATGATATTATAAGTCTAATAATTGAAAAAGTTTGATATTCATTTTATTTAATCATAATATGTATTAATTAAATTTCTCATTATTGCCATCCAACTTCACATTCAAAGCAATTCTTGAAAGTGCCTCTCTGCTGAAGGCAATACCACAATGTCATTGTTCATCATTTCACCATTCGTATATGTCATTCACCTCATATATATTGGATCATTCAGAAAGTTTTGCAGTTTCTTGATAAATGCAAGTGAAGCAATACAAAATATAAGAACATTGAATAAGCTTAATTTTGTTCTGTGATTTTTGCTATCTAACAGCTGAAAAATTCTTTTGGTACTATTCAGTTTTGAGGGCTGTAAAAAATTGCCAAACTATTGTTGATGCCAGTGCTGCCAAAATAATTGCGGCAACCCTAACACAAGAAAGGAAGTATAATAGTAAATAACTATCTAAGATGGATGTATTAATTTAGATGAAAAGTTAATTTCATATAATACTTTTTTATTATTATAATTTATATAAAAAAGGCTAACATGACTGAATGTAAGCATAAGAGTAAATAACTAGTTCAGATCATTATTATAATTTATATAAAAATTTCTAAACATAACTGAATGAATGCATCGCTATTTTGCTACCGAGTTATCGCTAAAGCATAATTTCATCTCGTTGGTTGTTCAAACATAATTTCTATAATGAATGATGCCTTTTCTATGAAATGATTCTCTGTAAAGTGCAGAATCGCCCATTTATTTGTTTGCTGCTTTTTACAAGGGTAAAAACAATTGGATTTTTGTCAATTTTCTTTTACTTTTTAAGTGAAAATAGGTTGATGTGTACATAGATAAAGTCAAGGGTCTGCACAGTGCCATTTTTGTGCAATTCTGGGATTTTTTTTTTTTTTTTTTAAGTGAAAATAGGTCAATGTATACATGGATACCAAGTATATTTAGTTCTTAAAAAAGCATCAAGCAGTGGGTGATTCTACACTTTACTCAAAATTCTATTGCAGACTTTTCGTCACGGGCACTTCCCAAATTGTTAAATCCATAGGATATTAAAAAAAAAAAAGATTTAAAAATTAAACTAGTATTTCAATGGCGTCTTAAGAAATACAGAACTATATAAACTTATATAGACTTACGGAATCTGAAATCAGCACGTACGCTAGATTTGACACGCTGTTTAAATGGGCGCGTTTGTTAGATTTGGTGCTTTTGCACATACATTTTCGCTGCAATTTTTTTACGGTCTTCAAAACTGAATAGTACCATTCTTTTTTAAAATAAATCGTTCGATGTATTTGTTAAAAAGTTATTGAAGTACTGCATAATACTCTCCAGTTCCCAGCCATTCAGAGAATTTTGAAGTGATATGAAGAGAATAAAACCCATAGGGCCAAAGTCTAGTGACTATGAGGAGGGGGGAAGGTAACACATAATACCCAATGAGTTTTTGTCTGAGAATTATCAAAATGTGAGGCCACATATTGTCATAATGGAAGAGAACACATCGATGGTGCTTTGCTTCCATTTTAAAACCACCATTTGGGAACAGTATTCTTTTGAATTATTGTGTCATTTGGTGGCAATAGTTCATAGTGTACAATACAACAGTTCATAAACTTTCAGTTTTGTGCACCGAAAAATCTGCCTTCTTGCCCCTTGGCCGAAATTGCTTGTTTTTGTGTAGAAACTCCAATTTTAATTGTAAAATTTTTTTTAAATTGTTTTAATTGTATTTGGTGTTTTAATTTTTTCATAAAGATTTTGAGGTTTTAGGTATTTTTGCATTGTCACGAAGTGAGAACTGAATTAATTGAATGAGAAATATATCTCAAATGAAATTCAAGGAAATAAGTTTAAATGAAATGCAGGAAAAAATACGTATAATTTAATATTTCATACAAGGAAGTCATGTGGTTTGCATATGAGATTTTGCATATAGTTGACAGCCTGTCTACTATTTTTAGCTGGTCTGATAGGCTCAACTAAGTTAAGTAACCAGTTATTTGCGTTTTTATCAATATATAGCTAGATTTATAAAGTGGTTTTAATTCAGCTTGTAAATGTGTTTTCAGTTTGGACTGAATTTTTGCAGCTAAATTTTGCTTTTTGCTTTAACCACAAATTTTATTACATTTGGAAATATGTATGGTGATTTAGTGTAAAACAGAATAAATAAATGTGAAACATTTAAAAAAAGGGGGTATATTTCTACTGTATGTATTTATCAAAGAAGACTTCATTTCAGCAAAGCATGTTTTCCTGAAATAACACTTCATGATTAATATATTTTTACCTGTTTCTATTCTTTTTTTTCTTTTTTTTTTTTTTTTGAGTAGAATTTGTTTGATTACTATATGGACATAGTCATAAGCACAACTAAAGAACATCTGCATTTTTTAAAGTGTATTTTGTGTTTTTGAGATGTTTCACAAAAAACAATAATAGTTTTTATAATTATTCAGAAATAGTATATATTTTATAAATTTACAGTTGTATAAGTATATAGATCTCATTAAATTAATTGTCATAACATTTAATTTTTTATAGTGCCTGCTCATTTGTACAGAATGAAAGCTTTGGATTCAGTACCTATTCTAGGTAATTGCAGCATCTTAATCTAAGTATTTTATTCATATTTAATGTTTATTGTATTAATATAACAACTGTTAGCTTTATGTAAGGTGGATAACAGAAGTTTTGTTTCAGTTACATAGTTTGAGAATGTAATATAAATTGGGAATTCATTGCATCAGCTTTTATTTGCAAAATTGTTGGGCCAATGAATTGTCATATGATATATAGTGTTATTGAACCTATCTGAAGTATGTATGACAGACAGTGCCAATCCTAGACCATCAGCCATCAACATTCCAATTAAAATTGGTCGCCCTTTTTTACAAAAATGTTATATGTTTGATAATCATTTCATCATCCTTAAATTTGGCCACCCATTTGCTATGCACCATATGGCCCCTTGCTAGGATCGACCCTTATAACCGAAGACTGCAGCCTTAGAAGTAATGGAGAAGCTGTCAACAATTTTTGTAGCAGTATGAGTTGAGGTTATTTCTCTGATAAGATCTCCTGTCTTGCTTGTTGTTACCAGCCCAGTCACATGCTGATTACATATAAAAATGTATGTGCATTATGCATAATTAAAATGCTTTTTAAAACTTATCACAGTTAAATTTTAGAAGCATTAGCAGTTAGCAATAATCATAAAGTAAGATATTAATAAATGCCTCTAAGTAGCAATGGTAGGTATGAGGATGTAATTTCAAAGCAATTAGTTCTTTTGCACTACTTAAATTTGGATGGATAATTTTAGTGATAATAGTAAAATCCTAACTGTAATCACATACAACTTTAATTCTTTAATAATATAAAATGATGTTAAATGTAATATATAGCATTTTCTATAATCATCCAATTAAAAAAATAACTGACAAAAATTGAAAAAAACAATGGGTTCACTTCTGGATAAAATTTCTAAAATTATCTGTACTTAATTAAAAGAGTGTAATAAATTATTGCATAAATATGAACAGTACTAAAAATAAAAATTTCATTGGAAATTAAAAAAATTAGACTTCATAAAGACAGTTTAAAGTACAAAATCTCTTGTTTCTCCCAAAATAATTACCTCATAGTTTTCCATCCATATTATCAGAAATCTTGATAAGAATTATGAGAATTAGGAAGTATATTATACAGAAAATACAAAATAAACTTTTACATCATAAGGAGAATTTTATATTAAATTTTAGAATTTTAAGGGGTGATAGATTTTTATTTTTATCTCCTAAACGAGCTGGATACAGACAATATCATTCCACTGTCCAACAGGTATCTTATATTAGTCAAGCCATTAAGGATTTTTAGACAATCGCTTACCTTTTCTTGGCAACATTTATAGACTTTGAATCAGTTTATGATAAAGTATGACGACTATGTACTCTTCAGAAATTACAGAACTTGGGAATAAATAGCAGGATGTTTTTGTGGATTAAGAATATCTCATCACGGCATTTTTCTGCTGTTGGATATGGCTGTGACATTTCTAGATTTAAACAGACTGAGACTGGCCTCCCATAGAGAACAATCATCAACCCAATTCTTTTTAATGTTTTTATTAACGATTTACTGAACACTCTGCTACCGTGGGTCGATTCTGCTCTTTTTGTTAATGATTTGGTTATTTGAAGCAGGATGGTTTAAATGTGACTCTTAATAGTGCTTTGAAAGAGCTGGAATATTGGTGTCTAAAATATGGTATGAGAGTAAATCAGGATGAGAGCACATGCCAGTTCTTCATTCTGAACAGACATCCTTTTACTCCAAAGTTGACATATAAGGTAGTGGATGTTCAACATAATGATTCGACAAAATATTTGAGTTGCATCCTTGATCCATGTTTAAGTTGGAGGAAACATATGGAACATTTGGAAAAAAAAAAAGCCATGAGAAGCTCTGTCTTAAAACGTATGTGATAGAGACGGTATCAAAGTGGGGGTGTGATAGAGAGACATTGACGACTACTTACAAGTTATACGTTCAACCAGTTGTTGGTTATTGTAGCGAGATCCTCATCATGGCTTCGAAGAATGTAGTACAGATTCTCAAAGTCTTTCAGAACCAAGTGTTTTGCATAATTACTGGAGCAGTGAGATCTACTCCTATTCTTACATTGCAGCTTTTGACAGGTGTGGAACCTGTTCATGATTGTATTAAGAGAAAAGCAATTCTCTTATACCAGAAGCTGGTACGTTTGTTTGCCCAACAACCCTTTGGGAAACTATAATAATGAAATTTCTAGAAATCTTAAAACTCAAATTTGCTTTATCCAGGCTGCTCAGAGAGAATCTGATGCTTTGGAATTGAGCCGGAATGATCTAATTTTACCTCCTCCTTATTGACCCTTAGATTTTTTTAATATAAATCTTACCATATTCAAAGAGTTGTTAAAAACAAAATGAGCGATTCACAAATACAATCTATTGCAATGGAAACTATTGGGGTTTGCTATCCTCAAAATGAGTGGCTGCATGTCTACACCAATGGCTCTATGTTAGAGAAAACACGCAGTGCTGGAACAGGTATCTATAGCAAGCTTTTCAGTTTCTACTTAACCAGTGGCCCCTTTTAGTGCTGCCTTTAATGGGGGAAATCAAAGTTATTGCTGTGGCTATTCAACAACTGTTGATTCGTAGCTCCTTGTAAAAGCAGTCATATTGTCAGATTCCAAAAGTGTGCTTCATTCGTTTCTGAATAGTTAAAAAGTTCCCAAAGAATCTTAGACTGTAGGCCTTTGCTTAAGGCAATGGTATACAGAATTTCTGTCTAATGGATTCCAGCCCGCTGTGGAATTATGGGAAATGATAAAGCTGATACATTGGCTAAGAAAGAAACTTTGATAATGCAACGCATTAATCAAACACTTTCCTTTCATACGACTCAGTTTGTTAACCTGACTCTTCAGAAAATTCTGAACCTTTTTGCGATAGTGCACCTTTGTTTAAGACGCTCGTGAGGAATGGAAGGGAATCAAAAGCAGTCACCGTACAGGATTGAGGTTTCGCATCGCTAAGCCTAATTTTATTTTTTAAAAAAATCAGAAAAAAAAAGTTTCACTTCTAGCATCGTAATTTTTGGTATCATTTTAGGTTATTACTTGAGCTCTTTTATATATTAAAATTAGCACTTAATAACATTTCTTTATTTTACATGAAAATATACATAAAAATTTCCTTATCTTGTAAAATAATTTTCAGAAGCACTATTCAAAGAATTCCAAAGTTTTAATTGATAAAATCTATCAATAAAGTTTTAAATTAATAAAACTACGCAATTAAGACTATTTACAGTAAGAAGCAACAAAATTTAAAATGAAGACTGAGTGTGGTAAATCTCGAACCACTGAGAAGTATTACTTTCTAACTCTTTAGAAAAAGAATCATCACTCTCATCTGCGTTAGTAAATGGGTCATTATCCATACGAGGATATTCTTCCTCTGATAAATAGCACCTTCCCGCCGTAATAAACTGGAAATGAGGCTTTCCGAAATAAAATGAGAAGAAATGGAAATATATCTGAAAGCAATGCAAAACGTAACAGAATTCCACATAGTAACCCTAAAAGATCATATATAGTAGAGGGAAAAAATAGAATAAAAAAAGGAATTGGGTATAAATCAGACACGCAAATATTTATATTAGCACGCGGTGATTTAAAGAGCCCACCTCTGTTTAGGCTTTCGCTCCCCCCCCCAACCTCGCAACAGTTGATGAGTAAAATGCCAGACAGAATATATCAAACTAAAAATCAGGAACCTAAAATTGTGTTCATTTCAAAAGTAATGGACATAGGATCCTATTTAGTGGCCTTCAGAAAATGTTCCAGCTTAAAATGCATATACGCATCACCCGTCCTCTGAATGCAATTTCTAGTGATGCGGGGATGGGACACCCAGCTGTAAGAGACGTTCTTAGGGAATGCGTATATGGGATGCCCATCCTGAAAGGGTTAAGCAGGCTATGATTCAATGTACTAGATGGAGGATTCTTGGGAAAGAGACCTCATTTTCCAAGAAAGACAGCAGTAGCTCTATTTAGACATCTGACCGACATGAATGTTTGCGAGACTACCTCTACAGAATTGGAATGCTGAATTCCCCAAACTGTATTTTGTGTGACTCCAATCAACCTATAATTTTTTGAACATTTAAATAACTGTATTGCATTTTCTTGGTATAAAGACATTGTTGCAAATTACTGGAGAGCCTGTGAACTAATTGCTTAAGTGCTAATGTTTGGCGTTTATGAAATAAAATTTAGTATGAAAGTCATGTTATGAAAATAACTTCCTTCATTATTTTTTGTCTGACATACTAGAAATGCATACTATAATTCTGAAGAAATATTATGAAACAGAAAAATTATAGTTTGTTATAATTTAAGAAATTAAATATAATATTTAACATGTTTGCTGCCATCTATGAGAATCCTCATAGTTTCCCAACTGGATTTACTTGCCAGCTGTGAGATAACTTGTTACTTACCTAAATCACTGAATAGAAATATTGTTGTAGCAAATGTAGTGTTTAGGTATTTGATTGACAGGAAAGGGCTAAATAATACACTTGGCATACTGGAATGGCTCATTAATTAAAAAGAGATACAAAAACTGCTGAAAATGCAAATTTTGGGGGCCAGGTATTCGCTTAAGAAATGTAATAAATGGACTGCTCAAATTCTTGTTCTGTAACTTGTGTATGACTAATAGATAATACTGTAGTGCACATGCAAGAGTTCTGCATTAATGCACGGAACAGATGAGTATTGTTTATTTTGCTCCAATTTATCATGTAGTTATCGTGATGCAAAAATATTATGTCATATGCCACTACAAGTATACACTTATGAATTTATTTACTATTCAAAGTAATCTGATCTCTAGATTTTAATAATAAAAAAGCAGAAAATAAAAGTGTAAAAATCCAGAGAGGATCATGGCACATGTGAATGGATGGACCATATTAGCTTTGGTAGTGAACATGTTTATAAATTTTATTCTTATTACTTATAATATTTATGCACACCATTTTTAAAACAAAGTTAACTGAGATGTTTCTAATTTGGGTTTGTTTAATAATAAATAAACCAAATTAATTACATGAGATAAAAATGAAATGTTTTAAATTTTAATTAATTTTTATTTTCTTTGTTACTGCTAGTTCTTTATAACAACATATACTTCTGATCCTTGAATATGTTTACACATTATTGCTGCATTTAAGCCTTCAGAAAAATATGTTGCGCTTATATAATAGCGATAAATCACATGATAATGAATTCAGAGAAGCTTTTTTTTTCTCATACAATTTAGGAGCTTTCTTAGTGACAGAAATGTAAAAATGAAATTAGGAAAGCGCATATGTATAATCATGAAATTATTTAACCTTTCCGGCAAGCTACCTTTTAAAGTTGGAGTTTTGATATTAAAAAAAAAAAAAAAAAAAAAAAAAAAGGTAGGCAGTCTAATTAGGCTTAGAGGAGTACACAAGTAAAATTTTGTGAAAGTAGCAGTTATCGTTTTAATTGTGTGGGTGTGCCCAAAGTAGGCATACTGATTGAATAGAGCTTCGAAATGAGTGCTGAAACGAGCGTTGTTGTCAATGAACTGACTGATGAGATGCAGAGAAACAAAGAATACAGACTCTCAGCTGTCCTAGATTATCGGTGAGCCCAGTCTGGGCACATCTAGGGTTCGCCGTTTGATTTTAAGGAAGATTTCAAGGTAAAAATTTAAAACTAATATAGAATAAGGAGATTAACATACAGCCAAAGAAACAACTTTTCAAAAACAACTTTTAGAAATTTCTTTTCAAACAATTCCTTTTATACCCTAAAAAAAAATCTGGAAGATTTCTTAGAAAAAAATGAGGGTCTTAAAAAACTAAAAATGCTAAAATATATGGACTGGTTTGCATTGAGCTGCCATCTACTATAAATAAAGAAGGTTCAGAGTAACCTATAAATTCTTTTTCATTCAATTTTTCTGTGCGTACAGAAGGACCGGCACAGTGTGTCCGGTCTGGACACACTGTGCCGCAAAGGGTTAAATAAACTATTAAAAAATAAAATTTTCAAAATTCCATCTAGGTTAAGAAGTAATAGCAAAATAATTTAAAAAGACCAATTTTTGGCCTCAAAATGTATTTTATTAATATTTTTTGCTGATAATAAATTGGTGATTAATATATAACATAAATATTATTTGATTTTATTTACCTTTAATTCTGTGTAAAATAAATTTTTAAGTAATTTAAAATTACATAAATCAAATCCATCAAATTTATATTTAAAAAAAAATCTTTCCAATAATTATGTCATATTATAAGATATTATTCTATGCATATTATCCATTAAAAAGTTAGGGAACAGCAATTAAATTTCAACACATTCATTATATCTACCATTATCTTAATCAACATTAACTTTAAACTGATTCAGTATAAAAAGAACCATGTGTAGGGAATTCTAACAAAAAAGAAACGAAAAACAATGTAAATGGAAAGGATATAAAATACTTTATTTGTTTATTTATTTTGGTATTAGTTCTTCTGAACAACCAATAACTAAGCAAACCATTTTAAAACTTTAAATTTAGAAAATATTATCAAAAGTATAATCAATGCCCTTAGATGATCAGGGAGTGGATGAGTGCTGATTAAAAGAAACAAGTGTGGGGTGAAACCTGACTTGTTTCTGCCCTCAGATTTGGGCCACAATTTGTGCTCCATATATTTCTACCTCTATGATTGTAGCATTAATTGTCACAATGTGTTTGTTTTGAAAATTGTATGCTTTTAGCATTGAAATTTTAATTGAATATCATATAAAGTGAAATTCTTCTGCTTTGAAGTTGATATATGCTTATGCTATTTTAGAGGAGGAAGAATTCATGTTCCTTTTATTTATTTGTTTTTTAAAAATGAAAAAAATATTTTAAACTATCTTTAGGTGTAGTCTCTCTTTATATATATGTAGTAACACAAAATTTTGCATTTAAAACCAAAATTATTCCAAGTATTTCCATGCAATTTGCTGCTGAGAATTGGTCAGTATAGATAAAAAGTAAGAAATTTAGAACCTAGTTTCACAAAGACCCAAAAAGAATGAAATTCAATGCCAATAATTTTTAAAATACTCTATAAATATGTAAAATAAGAAGTAAAGAAATGTGAAATATTAAAACATAAAAATTACAAAAACCAGAAAAATACTATATATATGAATGGAAAAATATGGAAATAATAGAAAAGTTTTGATAACGTATAATAGTTATTTTCAATTACATGCTCCTGAAGTTAAAAATTAGTTGAAAAATTATATCATTGAGAAATGTTAATTACAGAAAAGAATATAAATGCATTCATATGGCAAAAAATGAGGCTTGTAAAGCTATCTTTCTATTACATTAAAAAAAGTGTTTAAATCTTGTATTAATTAAATCATTGATTAAAATAGCCAAGTTTTAATATTAGCATCTATTTTATCTTTTAATTAAAAAGTTATATTAAAGTTATCTTAAAAATATATTTTTTTATTGAATTTTTATTATGTCAAAATAGATAATCAAATAAATTATAATCTAGAATATTGAGTATTCTGTAATAACAAAAAATGCTGAGAAAAAACTATAATGAATGTGTATGTATCACATTTAATGTGATGTAATTGTTATAATTAACAAATCATTGCTTTTAATATATTTATGTACTTGTCTTTAATTTCTGATCTGCAAACATGTTTTTATTCATGTAATATATTTATTAGTTATTTAAAGTAATTTTTTTTTTTTTTTTTAATTGCAGATGCTGCAATTCTGTCAGCTGACCCTACACGAACTAGGTCATTTAACCAAGACTACAGAGTATACTTAGTACGTCTTGCCCAAAGTGGTGTTCTGGGTCAAATAGAAATTGCTACAATTCATAGATATGCTGATATGTATGAACTAGCAAGGCATGGACCAGGAGTGAGTGAATTTCAAGGCTGTCTTAATATAAGTTTTAAAATGATTAAATTTAAATATTCATGTCTTATAAAATGAGATTCATATTTGTTGAAAAATAAAGTAGGCTATACATAGTTTATTAATAGAAATATTAGTATGCAAAGATCAAGAAAAGTATTTCTTATTTCACTATTGTATTGAAAATTAGTGTAGTTTGTAATATAGGTATTGCATGAAGTTTATCTTAATATGATATATAAATAAAATACTCAAAGCTATCTAGCATAAAATGCGCTTAAATTATTTTTTTTAAGAAGGAAAAATTGGTTGGTGTGCTACTGAGCAATGCATTACTAATGACACTCATGAATTGTTAAAACACTTTCCTGAGAAAGTCATAGATGAGTTTCTACAGTTGTTACAACACTTAAAGAAAGCTGAGCCATGGATGGTATTTTTTGGTTACATATTACCAGCACTGGCTGATAATGCAAGTACTTACTGTTATTTTCACATTAACTAATGCTGGGAGCGTGCTTTGTTTGGCACTCGAGTAACTTACAGAAATCTGGAGATTGGAGGCTCCTGTTACTCATTCAGATAACATAGATTTCAGTTATTTGTATATTTCAATAAGCCAAGGTTCTATATTTATCCAGTTCTTACCATTTGAACCAAACCTGGTGTAGGCCAAAATCCCTCCAGATCACAATAACAACAGGCCATGAATGCATACGTATGACCAGAAAATAAATCTGCAACCTGATATGCAAAAGAAAGTCAGTGACTCAAGTAAAACTGTTAGAAGAAAATATGGTAATCCTCCTTTTATTACTTGCATTCAAAATATTCTTACAAGAACAATACAGCAATCTAGACAATATAACATTACATCAGTTAAAAAAATGCCATACATGAATGTACTATATTAAATATACAGTCTGTCTTAAAAATATTTATATTTCTTTATAACCAAGTAGAACACCAAGTCTCTGCCATTTTTGTCAGTTTGAAAACTGCAAGTATCTAATGCTAACCTCTTCAGAAATGGCAACCTCTCCACCTGTTCCAGTAATAAGAGCATTTCCAACTCTGAAAATAAATTTTTGCTGTATTTACTTAATTTTCATTTCAAAATTGGTTATTAAATAAAATTCATGGATTTACATCAGAACGACAGTTTGATTTTTGAATGTTTTTGGGGCTGCTCCTGTATGTAAAAATCTCATTTTTAGATTTATCCTTCTCCAGTCTTTATTTTAAATTAGTAAGAATTTTTTATTTTGTTGCCAAATAAAAATTCTCTTAACTTGCTCTCCATATTAGTGAATTCAACTGATTACATTTTGTCTAAATTGCATTACTAAATTACAGCAATTGCAGGGGAAAAAAGTTTTAACAAATTGTTTTCATTATTACTTGTAATTGATTTGACGAGATCTTTACCCATTTTCATGGTCGGCAGATTTTCATAATTTAATGTTTTACTTCAAAATGTGACATTTTACTTATGACTGGAATGCCTTTTTTTATTTCAAAATTTCACATAATTTAAATGTAGGTATTTGATATAAAAGCTGATGAGAAGTAAAATGACTCTTTTTATAATATTAGACTGAAAATTTTTGCTTCCATTCATTTGGCTTTTTGTACTGTGAATTGCATTTTTTATGTGTTTAACTATCCAGAATTTTTGCATATCCACAATTTGGCATTTCTGCAGATTTCTGAGTATTTGATCTTTTACTGTGAGATATGAAATTATCTTTAGGTAATAAATCAGAACTAAATGCTATAATTTAGAAGTTATGAAATAAATTTACTCTAAAATATTGTGTACGTGTATGTGTTTCTTTTGTTTTGAAAAATTATGTAAAGAATATAATCACACAGAAAAATTGTGTTTTCTGCAGTTTTATGCTGAAACTTTACCAGCTTGCAGTAAATTAATACATAATAGAGTAAAATTAATATGAAATAATAATAGGACTTTTCCAGAGAGAAATGTTTGTTTCTTAATTAGAAAGCATCTGCAATTGCATTTAAAATGTGTTTTTAATATCATATTGTTAAATTTCAAAGCACAAAATATCTAAATTTTAAATCAAATTTACTTTTATATTTATATTTAGTTACGCTGCCAAGTAGGTCTTCATTAATCCAATAGTAGCTGTTTTAACACAAAACTTTATTTATGCAGTGTATTCACAAATTGTATATATGGCAACAATTGTTACAGTTCTCAATTTGTTTACATAGTTCATTGTATTACTCAGTTCTCAAATAATGAAAAATATCTACATTGTTCAATTGCTGTTAATCAGGACCTCTCTTGTTTGTGATTTTATAACAGTCTCCTTGTCATGACATGATGACCATGCATGCACAGTTTAGCTGAACGGCCTGCAACGCCTCTCTCTCATGAGACCTTTTAGAGAAGAGTGGTTAGTTAGTAGGTAGTAGCGAAGTAACGAAGAAAACGTGCTGTATGTCAGCTTGGATGCAAAATACACAGTTATACTTGTGTGTTAATCGTTTGTACTTATTATTTTATTTGTGTGTTAATAAAGTTTTGTGCCATTAAAATGACTGGTTTATGCAATGCCCACATTACGATACGTCTACGGTAGGAATTAAATACATATCCAGAATCTACACCCCAAGAAGAAGCATATGACAGTGGTGTGGAATTCAAGGTTACAAAAATGGCTGAAGAGCTAACGAAATCTAAGAAAGAACGGAAAGTTATTCGTTCAGCCATTACTAAAGTAACAAATGCTATTGAATCATTAATTGCAGCCGGTAACCTTGAAGACCTTGAAGAATCACTGGAAGTTTTAAAAGTAAAAGCTATTTCTTTGAAAGCATTAGACGAAAGAATTAAAACTTTGACTGATGTTAATGACATTGAAACCGAAATCGAAAGTACCTTGGAATATGAAGAAAAGATTGCGAAATGGAGCTTTAGAGGCACAAAATTATTGAAAGAAAAAAGAAATAGCAATAATTCGCTAGTTTCTAATGGTTTTTCTAATGATAGTAAAAATTTATCTCTTTCTGGTGTCGATAAAAGTTCTGATTATAATGTTAAATTGCCAAAGATTATGATTGATAAATTTTATGGGAATGCTGAAATGTGGCAGACATTTTGCAATTCTTTTGACACGGCAATAAATCAAAACAAAAAACTATCTAAAGGGGATAAGTTTAATTACTTGCTTAGCCTGTTAGGCGGTGCAGCTTTAAAAACAATAGAAGGTTTTTTTTATCTCCAGAAAACTACAACGAAGCTTTTAAAATTCTCAAAGAGAGATATGGTCGGAAGGATCTCCTTATTAATTCTTACATGCATAAACTTTTAAATTTATGACCTGTCCAAAGTTCTAATGACATTAATTCTTTGAGGGAATTGTATGATACCTGCAATGTACAAGTAAGGTCACTAAATTTGATAGGGGTCAAGACCGAATCGTATGGAAATTTACTATACCCTTTGTTAATGAAATGCATACCTCAGGATATAACGCTTGATTTTGCTCGTCAAAATGCAGATGAGGAAACTTTTAATGTCGACAACCTCATGAAATTTCTAAAAGGGGAAATTGAAAGTCGCGAACGAACTTCATTAAATTCATTTTATTCTAAGAGTCACGCTAATTCTCTTGGAAGGCATTCACAACCAAATGAAAAGCGAAACAACTTCCACACTCGGAATTCATTCAACGCCAACAAATTTGGCACCAGCTATTCCCCTAATGTAAGCAAAATTGCAGTTGTTCGAACTTTCCCTTGCTTATTTTGCGAAAGCAAAAATCATGCTTTGGAAAAATGCGTTATGTCTCCGGAAGAAAGGAAAAGAGTTTAAGGGCTTCTAATCGGTGCTTTCTTTGTTTCGAAAGGTGCTTTCTTTGTTCGAAACAACAAATTGCCCTTCTCAATTAAAATGTTCAAAATTTAATTCTAAGTATCATAGTATATTGTTGCATGAAGATAAGGAAAGGGTTGCTAAAGAAGAAATTAAGAATAATTCTAACGCCGTAACTGCAAAGATTTCTTCTAAATATTTTACTGCGAATCAAGAAGTTAAAGAATTAATAGATGATTTGCCAACCGTTAAACTTATATGTGATGGTAAATTAATTAATGCAGTAGCAGATATAGGCACGCAATTAACCGTTGTCAAGGCCGACATTGTACCAGAAAATGGGATACCGCCATAGAAGTGTACGCCACATGGAAGTGTTATCCTCACGTCAGCTTTCAGACAAGCTTTAAAAGCTCCTCTCATTAACCTACCTTTAGTAATGTATTCTGAAAATGATAAATTTATGTCACCTATTTTTATAACGTGCAATGGTGGATAAGTTATGCAATGATTTACTCTTGTGTGTGCTTTTAATGAGTTAAGGGGAGATGATAAAAGAAAGTTTGATTTTGAATGTAGAAATGTAAACATTACTACTGATAGTTTCGGTGAAATGCCTTTTCATGAAACTGAAAATTCGACGAAATACTTAACCATGATAAGGAAAACCTAATTAATGAAAAATGTAATGAAACTGTTAAGAAGATAATAGAATGTTGTGATCTTGTATATGAAGATACAGGTAAGGATGATTCCAAAGGTAGCACGAGACACGATCAATGTATTTCGGATTCAGAACTGTTTCAAGTGCAACAAATGAATGACTCATCTTTAAAAACATGCTGGCAAAATGTTAAGAACGGAAGTAATAACTTTATTGTTATTGACAACTTTTGTATCATAACGATAAAGTTTTAGGAGAAAGAGTTCACGAGTTAGTCGTTCCTAAAGAAAGAAAACAAATTTTGGACTTAGCTCATTCTAGCTTATGGGGAAGTCACCTGCGAACCAAGAAGACAGCCGAACGTTTGAGATATTCGTTCTATTGGCCTGAAATCAAGAAAGATGTAAATGAATACTGCAGTGCTTGTACTTCTTGTCAACTTCAAGCGAAAAAGCATCCCTTTGATGAAGTTCCGATTACGCCAGTAACACG